ATATTCCGGCTGGGCGCGGTGGCTCACGCCTGTAATCCTAGCTCTCTGGGAGGCCGAGGCGGGCGGATTGCTCGAGGTCGGGAGTTCGAAACCAGCCTGAGCAAGAGCGAGACCCTGTCCTCTACTATAAATAGAAAGAAACTAAATTGGCCAACTAATATATATAGAAAAATTAGCCTGGGCATGGTGGCTCATGCCTGTAGTCCCAGCTACTTGGGAGGCTGAGACAGAAGGATGCGCCTGAGCCAGCAGTTGACGTTGCGTGAGCTAGGCTGACGCCACGGCACTCACTTCTAGCCAGGCAAACAAAGCGACATCTGTCTCAAAAAAACAAAAAAAAAAAACGATATCCAAGGTTATTTTATTTACCTGCCTCCAAGCCTGGGATAAACCTCTTTTCGAGGAAAACTAATTCCTTCTTGTAAAAAGCGAAATGGTATTTAGAAAGCAAAAACCTGGGCATCTAATTTGTGCTCACTCTGCCTACTAGCGGTGTCATTGTTCCGTCACAGGCGCCACTTAGCAGCCTACTGGAGCTTACAACATTATAGTATAGTTAAATTCAAACTGTATGTCCCACATATATCTCTTTATTTGATAGTTTTAAATGAGCTTTACCTTCCTAATCAAATATCATCGTACCGCCGCTTTAAAAATGAGGTCATATCAATACCTCCAATTCCAATCCTAACCCACAAGGTTCTCTTTAGTCTTTCCCCTTTCTTTATTTATACTTCTTTCACTGAAAAGAACTGGTTCCTTATTATTACATATTTACTTCTTTGATTTTTCTATAATGACACATTGCCAACACCTCACCTTGTGAGAAAGCAATTTGCTCACAAAAAGTTTTGCGCTCCGATACAACATCTTTTTGTCTTTCAGCCAGTGGACTCCGTTTTTTTTGTTTGTTTTCTTTTGTTTGTTTTTTTTGAGACAGAGTTGCGCTTTGTTGTCCAGGCTAGAATGAGTGCGCGTGGCGTCAGCCAGCTCCACAGGCAACCCTCAAACTCCTGGGGCTCGAAGCGATCTCCCTGCCTCAGCCTCCGAGTAGCTGGGATCACACGCATGTGCCGGACCCCAACTGCCGCAATTTTTTATATAATATATCAAGTACTGCAACTTAACACCTTTCTTTCTATTATTAGAGACGGGGCTCACTCCTTGCTCAGGCCTGGTTTCGGAACTCCTGACGGCTTCGAGCACCGGGCTCCCGCCCTCGGGCCTCAAACGAGCTAGGATTAGCAGGCGTGAGCCCAGGGCGCCCCGCCCCAGTCGGACTGTTTAGCTAAGTTTGTCCTTACTCATCGGCCTCATCCCCTTCAACGTGGTATGTGGAGGTTTCATTTGTTTTGTGATTCCCATTTCTGCACCCCCCTCCCCCATTCTTGGTTGAATTTTATTTGTTGCTGTGCTCTACGCTATTGTCTAAGAGTCAAAGCTGTACAAACTGATACACTATTCAGCCCAGAAACTGTTCTCCCTCTCACCTATTCCATTCCCATTCTCCATTCTTTTCCTCCCTTGTCCACCACACATCCCTATAGGTAACCACTCTTTCGTTTCTGGTTTATTTTTCCTGTATTTCTTTTGCAGAAATGAGGAGATACATATGTATTTTTTCCAACCATTTTACAATTTCTTGATTTGTTAAAAGTTTTATTCATTTGATATACCGTTCCATTTTTTGTGGTTGTATTATACTTTTCTTTAGAAACAGGGTCTCACTCTGTTCGCTCCAGCTTTGGAGTGGGCAGCTGGCACGATCATAGCTCACTATACATCAAAACTCGCTGCCTCAAAGTGATCTCCTCCTTGCCTCCCAAGTGCTAGGAATTACAGGCATCGTGCCACTGCACCAACTGCTTTTGTGTTTATCAATTTCGTATTCCCTTATTTTGCAACTCGAGTTGAAAACCGTTTTATGTATTTATTGGCCATTTTGGTTTCTTCTAGGAAACTCCTATTAAAATTTTTTTTGGCCCATTTTCTCCTGGATTGTGTCATTTATATATTGCCTGAATACACCTTTGTTAGTTATACTGTACAAATTGGCGAGTCTGCTCATTTTATTAAAACCTCCTGGCATGACATAGAAGCTCCTTTAAGTTTATCTTCTCTCGGCCCTTTTATCTTAAGATAGCATTCTCCATGAGCTTTACTCACGCGCTATTATCGCGCTATATTGCTTCGACCAAAGTTTAGCAAGTTCTTCGTCTTTTACATTCAGCTTTTTCAGACCACTTGAAACTTGTTTTTCTCGGTATCACGTAACCGTGACATCCAAAGATCAATATACACCACTTTCCATATGGATAACCCAGTCGTCTTCCACACAATTTAATCAGGCCCATTCTTTGCCACCTGACTGTAGGTAAGCTTATGCTTAACATCAAGTCTCCATAAGTACAGGGGGATCTGTTTCTGGTTTCCACCCCTGTGCCCAACTGTGTCTTACTAACACAGCTCTAATTCTTAATCCCTAGTGAGGCAAATCTTTCCCACCTTTCCTACTTCAGAACTGTCTTGACTCTTATTGGTTCTTTGCTCTGCCATGTAAATTTTAAAAACAACTTTTCAAGTAAAAAACCGTTAGAATTTTTATTAAAATTACATTGAATCTCTAGAGAAATGTGAGAATTTCATTTTTATTTTATGATGTAGCTCTGTTTAGGTCTTCTTTAACTAATAGTGTCATCATTTTCTCCATAAAGGTCTTATACACCTTTTGGAAGATTTATTCCTAGATACATAATATTTTTGATGTTATTTTAAATGGTTCTTTAAAAAAATAAATTCCCTAAATGCTGCTGGTATACAGAAATGCAGCTAATTTTTGTAAATTGATTTTGAAGCCATCAATTTAACTAAATTCTTATTGATTTAATTTTATTTACTCATATATTATTTTGTATTTTTTACACATATTATTAGTAAACAATGATAGTTTTGTTTCTTACTTTACAGTTAATAAGTGAAAAAAAATCAGGATATACAATTATTAATACAAAATGTGAGCCAGGCAGCACAATATGCACAAAACACACACACAGGAAAGAAAGCACAAAAATGTAAGCAGTGGCTTATTTTGAGTTAAAGAATTATGGATACATTTTTCTTTTTTAGTATATCTCTGTACTTTCCAGTTTTTCCAAGATGAGTATCAATCACTTTCATAACAAGGAAAGAAACAAAACTTTACAATAAAAGCAAGTCTGAAAAAAATTTAAAGGAAAGAATGATCTACTAAAAATGCCTAGTTAGAAATAAAACAATCAGTTACCTCTGCTCTACCTCTGCTGGCCTGCTCACCACAGAGCCAGCCGGCTGTGTAATTATGGACTAATATGCCATGTTCTGTCTAAGAAAATGACCTCTCAGATTCCTGGAGCTTTGTCCTTCCATTAAGGGCATGTATGGCATTGACACCTGTCAGTCTTCACTCTTGATCTTAGCCAAAGGCCACAACTGGTCTTTGTTTGTTTTGAAATCTAGCCAACTCTTAATTATCCACAAAGTATATTTTTTTCCTCTTTACCGATTATCTATGATCTTTTCATATTAGGATGCCCTTAACTCACACTGCTTATTTCCTAAGGGTAAACTTGGGAAACACAGACTAATTCTCAACTGGTTCTACTCTCCCCATTTCACAGATAAAGAAACAGATACCCACAGAGATTGAGTAGGTCCTCTCTCTATGCCTCTGCTGGCCTCCTCTACCCCATATTCCATCATGGCCCTCGTCAAAATCATCCCTCTTCCCCGTCATAAACACCACGAGACTAAGCTCATTGCCCTGCTCTCCTCTGTATCCCCAGCCCTAGCACGGTACCTGGTACGATACCTGACACATAGCAGATGATCAATAAATAGATAACAAAAGTCAAATGAGTTTTACAGGCAATCCACTTTCCAAAACATCACAGTACTGCCAAATTAAATGTTTAATTCATTGCTTTTGGAAATATTCACAACAAAATTTGACACCATTTGGGTGAAAACTGAAAACAACCTCTGTGTAAAGGCTCCTAATTAAAAGTGTTTGAAAGCAAAATTATCTTTCTGTCTGTCTTTTCTGGTACAAAGAATTTTTCATATGGTAAAACATTTTTCCTTTTTATACCATTTAGGGCTATTAGTATTATAGCATCTAGATGCTAATTGCTTGTAGTTGTTAATTGGAAAAGCTAGATAGGCAAAATTAAGTCAACATAATTCATAAAAGTCTCTTCACTTAAAGGAGGATTTGCTGTTTTAATTATCCTAACAGCAGCTTCATGTGCCTAGAATTATTTAAATGTCTGTATGTAGAAGCAATTTTATTATAGACAGAGATAACACATTACTAAAGTTCCACAGTTTCTAACATTTTGAGACTATAACCATCATAAATAATTCACTTTATTAATTTTGTACATAAATCCAACATTCATTGAGGATTTCCCGTACTATAGATACTGTGTAATATTGTCACTGGTAAAAATGACTAAAACACTACCTTAAAAAGCTCACAATCTAATGTGGTATCTTTGGACATCATATTGTATTTTTTTTCCTAAATATGTTTTCTTATATGTGTTTTGTTGCTAAGTTTGGGGTAAGGAAGGCTTGAGCTTATATTAATTTGGTCCAGAGCTGTAGCCCAAAGCTTAATTTTTTTCTAAATGGCCTGTAGAAGCTATTAGCAGCAGCACTTTACATGCAAATAGAATTTAATTAAACAGAGGTCTCATACCTTCAACTGCTTTTACTTCATGTATCAGAAAGTTCCCTATTATTTGTGTCAGGTGTGGAAAGTGGGTGGAGTGTTATAAAGAAAAGGATATCTGCTGTTTCCTCCTCAAAACTGGTGGAGAATATGAAAAAGAAACAAATAACTGCTCTATAAATCTCTTCACACAGTACCCAGTATCAGCTGACAATGAACTTACATTTATCTCGTGTTTGTGTGTGTGTGTAAAAATGTGTAAAAAAATGGTCTCTTTTCTTCTTGGCAGGTGTCCTCGTGGACTTGGGTCTGGAGGAGAATGGGACTGCTCATCAGAGAGCGGAAAAATATGTTGTTCGCCTGGACAATGAAATTCAAACCAAGTTTGACGTTTTTATGAGGCGTGTGAAACAGAACCCATACACGCTGTTTGTGCTAGTTCATGACAACTCCCATGTGGAACTAACGAGGTGATTGCTTCAGAGTGAGCAAATACAGTATTTCTTCTACTGACATAATTGTTACGTAATGAAATGTTTTAAAGGCGATGATTTGAAAGCCCAGGGACCCTAACATTAGGCATCTTCCTACTGGTAACTTTTTCCTTCCCTTTTCTTGCTTCCTCACCTTTTCTTAATGATGTCATGTTGGTTTTATTTAACTATACTGTGGGTGAATTTAGAAATTCCCACTAAAAAATACTGTCTTAAGAGCACTGTGGACCCCAAGCTGCTTCACTTCTTTTCCTATTTCCTTTGCTTGTCTTCCTTTCTCTCTTGCCAGTTCTCCTTGCCTTTCTCTTTCCTTCTCACCTTTAAAAACAGAGATGCCATTTCAATGATGAGAGCCTATCTGAAACCTTCCTCAGTTTCCCAGTTTAAATAAGAGAGTACCATGTTTCTTGGGTGGACTGACTAATGAAAGAACAGTAAACGTGGAGTGATGGAACCCCTTTTGCTCACAGATCAAATTATAGGAATTATCTGGTAGGGGGTATCTTTGCTCCTAAGGACTAAAAAAGGCAAATAGTTTAAAGCCGGAGGAGGGGATAGTACTGGGCATTATGTATGATGGTTTGTCCTCGCCATGTGGCAGGGTCTAGAGAAATTTCAGGCATCATCAAGCATTTATAGACTTTCTTCTCTCCAGGAGACACTGAACTTAGGAATCTGGAAGTTTTTTTGTTTGTGATAGGAATGTGAGAATTACAAAAAGCACTTGTTCACAAACCAGATGTGTTTGATACTTGACAATCTGAAATCTAGAGCCATACATAGGTGTAAATGAGATCATGCATAACTTGTTAGATTTAGAAGAAGGAAGAAAGGGAGAAAGGGAGGGAAGTAAAAGAAATTTTTCCCACATCTGTTCAGTTATTGCTAGTGTTCTATGAGCAGAAATAGCTCACTGACCTTATATACCTCATCTTTGAAAGTTTGGGGTACTATTTCTGAGGGTACGTTTGGGATCTTTCTGTATTTAATTCTCCGGTGCATCAAGATTATTTCTTTGACAAAAAGATATGTACATATATATGTGATTTTGAGGCTGCATGGCAACGTGGTGCACCCAAATCGAACAGAACTGAGAAAGGTACAGAGATGAAAGTCTTGGTCAGGGAGTGGCGTGGGAGGCCTCCTCAGCGCTTCTCACAGCCTGGCAGCCCGGGGAAGGAGGAGAGCAGCGTAACACGGTGGGCAGCCCTGGCCTGTCTGGATCACTGCAAGGTTATAAACATCACGTTCTCGTGGAGATGCTCCTTCATGCAGGTGATTTTCAAAGTACAGTCATGTGCTGCATAATGACATCTGGGTTAACAACGGACCACACATATGACAGTGGTCCCTTAAGATTATAATACCATAAAAGAATAAAAATATTATTAATATAGTACCATACTTTTACTGTACCCTTTTTATATTTAGATATCTTTAGATACACAGATACTTACCATTGTGTTACAGTTGCCTGCAGTATTCGGAATAATAACGTGCTGTAGTACAGGTTTGCAGCCTGGGAGCCGTAGGCTGTGCTGTCTAGGTTTGTGTGCGTATACTCTGTGATGTTCCCACTATGACAAAATCACTTCAGGATGTATTTCTCAGAACGTATCCCTGTCTTTAAGCAATGCCTGACTGTAAAGTGACCTATCTCAGCTACGGATTTAGATATCCTTGGTCTGGATAGCTGAGTTTACACTTTCAGGTATTAGGGATAAATTGAAAAGGGGAAAAAAACTATATATATATATATATATATATACACACACACACACACACACACACACACACACATATATATATAATATTATATACACACATACCTGAAATCTATTTGAATAGAAGGAGCATAAGTTTTATCACTTCTGAATCAAATTTTGGTTGTTTCTACTCCTGCTTCCAACTTCAAAGAGCTAGAAAAATAAGAACTAAGACATTGTCTCCAAGTTGGTGTCTGATTCTGCATCTAATTATTTGAATGAGGCGGTATTAACATGACTTTCTATATTTCCACAGTGTCATTTCAGGCTCTTTGTCACATGGTGAACCCAGTCATGGCTTGGCTGATAGAGTCATTAATTGCAGAGAAGTTCTAGAAGCTTTCAACCTCCTGGTGCTCCAGGTTAGCTCCTTCCCATACACACTACAGACCCAACAGTCCCGAATCAGCTCCAGCAACGAGGTTCACTGGATACAGCTGGACACCCTGGTGAGTCTCTCACCTGCTCTCTGATACAGGTCACATTCCCAGTTCCCCAGGGACCTTGTGACAAAATATGGTCGTGGCTTAAGACCATAGTCACAAGAGTTCTACATCTAACATAATGCTTTATATTAAAAAATCTATTATAACATAGTGCTTCATCTTCCAAAAGTTCCATATATTCACAATTGTAAGTTATTATTAGACTAAGAACTAGGCCAGGCGTGGTAACTCACGCCTGTAATCAATCCTAGCACTCTGGGAGGCCAAAGCTGGCGGATCGCTCAAGGTCAGGAGTTTGAAACCAGCCTGAGCAAGAGCAAGATCCTGTTTCTACTAAAAATAAAAAGAATTAATTAGCCAACTAAAAATATATAGAGAAAAGAAAAAAGAAATTAGCCAGGCATGGTGGCACATGCCTATAGTCCCAGCTACTTGGGAGGCTGAAGCAGAAGAATTGCTTAAGCCCAGGAATTGGAGGCTACAGTGAGCTATGATCAAACCACTGTACTCCAGACTGAACAACACAGGGAGACCCTGTCTCAAAAATAATAATAAAAAAAAATGTTTAAATAAAAAACACCAAAAATGTCTTATATAAGACTAACATTTATTTATCAACCCAGTACATTTCATTCTGTCATGAATGAGGTAAGTTTTCCCTTACTTTGAACTCTTATCTTCAAGCACTTATCTTTTTTGCAGTCAGCAAGCTAAGGTCCTTGGATGGTGTTGGCATCAAAAACCCCTCCTTTATGAGAACTACCTCAGTGTGTTCACTGTCACTAGAGATTACTCTGAGCTTTTGCTTTCTTGGTATCTTCCCCATGCCAGCTCCACCCATTCACTGGGAGGTCAAGTTAGGGGTGAGATAACAGCTGCCCCAGTTCCTTTGACACGAAAGTACAAGGTGAGTCTGTGGGCTGCCCTAGTAGCTGCTGGGTTGCTCTGACATAGAATAGGATTGCCAATAGAACAAATGGAAACAATAATAATTTTTTTAATCCAACAGATAGTTTTCTGTTAAATGTTAAGTTTCAATAAACTATTGAGGTGGAGGGAGAACTCTGCTAATTTGTCCAGTTTTTTCTAGAAGGGATCGCACTCCACTGATAAGAAGAATAACTAATAACTTTTGCCCTTTATTTTCTCCTGACATGAAATCATAGAGAAACAGGCTTAAAACAATTTTCCTTAACCATTTCGGTACGGCACTCACCGGCCGCGACACCTTGCCCACAGCCGGCCTCACAGTACACACGACAGTTTGTGCCGTGCATTGACGCCGAATCCATTTTGCTCTTGTGTGATGAGGAAAGCTTTAAAGCACTGAAAGCTTGTTTTACTTTACAGGCAGCTTTACTTGTAATGCAAATCAGAATAGGTAACATATACATATATATTTTCATTACATTATTTTTTTTTTTTTTTTTTTTGAGACAGAGTCTCGCTTTGTTGTCCAGGCTAGAGTGAGTGCCGTGGCGTCAGCCTAGCTCACAGCAACCTCGAACTCCTGGGCTCGAGTGATCCTTCTGCCTCAGCCTCCCGAGTAGCTGGGACTACAGGCATGCGCCACCATGCCCGGCTAATTTTTTATATATATATCAGTTGGCCAATTAATTTCTTTCTATTTATAGTAGAGACGGGGTCTCGCTCTTGCTCAGGCTGGTTTTGAACTCCTGACCTTGAGCAATCCGCCCGTCTCGGCCTCCCAAGAGCTAGGATTACAGGCGTGAGCCACAGCGCCCGGCCTCATTACATTATTTTTAAATGTTCACAATTTTATTTTGATAAATGAAAAATTAGAAAAGTCATATCACGGCTGTCGGCTAAAGTCGCTGTGCATGTTCATCTGTGGCTGTCGGCTATAGTCGACACTGGTACCAAAGTGGTTAAAAGTCGTTCCATGATTATGAATAAGTTTTTAGGTTTAATAATGGTATTGTGGTTATATTTCTAAAAAGGCTCTTAGAGATATCTAGTGAAGTACTCAAGGATTAAAGATAACCAGGGATTTATTCAAAATAACTAAGGCGTGGGGAGACATTATACTCTCCTATAGTTAAAGGTTTTTAAAAATCATCCCTACAACATTGAGATCAACATAGAGAAAAGGAAAAAAACAGTGAATCTGATTTACAACAACTGCTTTCTGTGTGTAGAGGAGAAGTTCCTAGTAATTAGTCTCCTTTAGTTATCTTGAAGCCAATGTCTTGCAGGAGGAATAATTGGAAAAAGCAGAGTAATTCAATTAAAAAAAACAACATTACTGAGCACTTGTGGGCTTGTGTTGGATCTTTCAAAGAACACACAGAACATTTATGGTTTAGAGGAGAAAGCAAAGTACATACCTAAGTCACTACTATCCAAAGTAGAATAGGACAATTTCAAAAAATCAAAATGCTCCGGGGTTGAAATGAGGGAGAAGTCACATGCATTTGAGAGGAACAGGAGAAGCTACCTGGGGCGGGGAGCACCAAGGATGATGCCGGACAGGGAGGAAGACGGAGCAGAGAGAGGCTGGGGTGGGGGCAGGCGCTCCTGGCAGCAGACAGCATGGGTGGGGCCACAGTGGAGGAAACGGGGCACTTTTTAGAGAATACGTACTAGGATGCAAAAGAAACCTGGTAATATACATCGTATGGATGCTTTGAGGCTGGCAAAGTTTATTTACAGTTGTTACACAGGCATTAAGGATTTTTTAGCAAGGGTATAGTATTATTAGAATATACATACTTCTTTTTTTAATATTAACAATGTAAATACACAGCTGGATGAATTTTCACCAATGGAACATACCCATGGGACCAGCACTGAGATCAAGAAACAGAACATGGCTGGGCGCGGTGGCTCACGCCTGTAATCCTAGCACTCTGGGAGGCCGAGGCAGGAGGATTGCTCGAGGTCAGGAGTTCAAAACCAGCCTGAGTAAGAGCGAGACCCCATCTCCACTATAAATACAAAGAAATTAATTGGCCAACTAATATATATATAGAGAGAGAAAAAATTAGCCGGGCATGGTGGCGCATGCCCGTAGTCCCAGCTACTAGGGAGGCTGAGGCAGGAGGATTGCTTAAGCCCAGGAGATTGAGGTTGCTGTGAGCTAGGCTAATGCCACGGCACTCACTCTAGCCTGGGCAACAAAGCGAGACTCTGTCTCAAAAAAAGAAAAGAAAAGAAAGAAACAGAACATTGCCACCACCTCCGAAGTCCTATGTCCCTTCCAGACACCCCTCCCAGCCCCAAGGGTAACACTATTCTGGCCTCCTATATACCATGGGTTGGCTGTGCCCAGTTTTGACTCTATATAAATGGAATCATGCAATATGCACTGTTTTGTACCTGGCTTCTTGTGCTCCACAGTATGCTCGTGAGATTTGTTTATATTTTGCATGAGTCATAAAACATTCATTCTTATTGCCGTGTGTGTTTATGTGTATAAAACATTGTGTGACTCTATCACCATTTGTTTATCCTTCCTATTTCATTTATTTCAAATAGTCCAGCTGTAACATTCTGGCATACCCTTTAGTAAACATGTGTATGTGTTTCTGTTGGGTCTGTATCTGGGAGTGAAATTTCTGGGTCACCGAGTACGCGTATGTTCAGCTGTAGTAACTACTGAGAGGCTGCGTTTTAAGACAGTTCATTCAATCTAGAAGCTAAGTCCAGGTAATTAGAAGAAGTCACTTGCTTTTCTGATAATTCAGGTTAGAATTAACAAATACCTGAATCAGAATGGTGGTCCTGGCAACAAAAAAGATGGAAGACATGGTAAATTTTCTAGGACTTGTTTATTCAGGGAGAGGGAAGAGTCAGAAATATTTTTGAGGTGATGCCTTTAGTTGGGAAAAAAGCTTGAGAAGAAAATTGATTTGTGGAGGGCAGAGGAGACTGACTGAGTTAGGGCCGAGGTGAGAACACCATTGTAAATGCAAAACTGGAGTTCACATCGGGGCTTTACAATGTAGATCTGCAATATTTTTTCACAAACAATAATTATGGGCCAGGTGCGGTGGCTCACACCTGTAATCCTAGCACTCTTGAGAGGCTGAGGTGGGTGGATTGCTCGAGGTCAAGAGTTCGAAACCAGCCAGAGCAAGGGCAAGACCCCGTCTCTACTATAAATAGAAAGAAATTAATTGGCCAACTAATATATATAGAAAAAATTAGCCAGGCAAGATGGCACATGCCTGTAGTCCCAGCTACTCGGGAGGCTGAGGCAGTAGGATTGCTTGAACCCAGGAGTTTGAGGTTGCTGTGAGCTAGGCTGACTCCATGGCACTCACTCTAGCCTAGGCAACAAAGTGAGACTCTGTCTCAAAAAAAAAAAAAAAAAAAAATTATGGAAGCAGCTGGTAAGGATAAAATTATGGGAAAAAATAATGAAGAGAATTGTTGAGAGGGCCATGAGGCCAAGGACTGACAAGTCACCGCCGCTGGAGTTGGCCTCAGGAGTCCTTGGTGACCTTCCAGGGAACAACGTCCGGGAAGCAGAGAGTTTGGCTGGAGCAAAGGGAGAGACGGCAGCCAAAGCACAGGGAGAGCTGCAGGTGGAGGGTCACTGAGAGGGCAGAACTTCAGGAAGAAGACGGTGGTTTTTGGTTTTTGATTTTTGTTTTGTAATGAGAAGGGATTTTTTTCCCCAAAGATACTGTGATTCAATAAGTCATATGATTTATGATATTTCCAATATATCTTTTTTTTCCTAACCACTAGATGATATGGGAACAATGTGTAATAGCTCTTTACAGTGAAATCATTGCGTTTCATGAATGTTTTAAAGGATGGTTCCATTCACTTCCATTGTAACTTTTGTAACACTTAAATACTATAGCTACAGTTTAATGCGAACATAACAGATCGGGGAGACAATTCACTTCTAATTCTAATTTTTAGTAACTCTGGTTCTCAAAACCCACAGTGGCTCCAATTGATCACAGGCATCTATTTAACAACCTGCCCTATAAATTTACTAAGAAAAAAGAGAGAGAAATAAAAAATGAGAACAGGTGGATGCATCGTATCCAGCAAATTATAATGCTGCGTCAGGAAGGGGAGCCGGCTTGGAATAGGTTTTATTTTCCAGAAGGAATAGCCAAGGGTGAGAGGAAATGTGAAGACCAAATACAAGATAAAGGTTTTCCAAATGACTGTGTGCCTGCAGCCCAGATGGGGAAGGAAACGTAGATGAATGACTCCCCCAATCCCACCCCCCTGCCAAAATTACTTATTTGACACAGCTATCCAGAACACAGCTAAACCCAGAAGGAAACAAGCAAAGGCTTCTAAGCCTCTGAAATAAATGTTGTTCAGTCTGTAATTTTCTATTATCTATAAGAACATACTCTGGTCCTCTCAAAAAGCATGTATTTACTCTCCAATAAAACCCTGTTCCAACAAGCAGATTTAACTGGTTTTGGGGGCCTCAAAAAAAAATTTTAAACTGCCAATTAAATAGTGCTTTATCTTGATCTCATTGACCTTGTATCACACAATTGCTTCTCCTTTAGATGGGTTACTGAAAAGCTCAGAACCAAACTTGCAGCCCACGTCTATCAAAGTGTGCAAAACCTTCTGGCTTGCACTTTGGGAATGCTAACTTTGTCCCCGACCCAATCTTATTTCTCTTACCCTTGCTTTTTTTTTTTTTTTTTCCCCTCTGATGGCCAAATTTACTTTTACATTATTAGACTTTTTCCAAGTTGCCTTATTTCCTTCGTGAGTTGGAGAGTGTGTAAAGAAAAATGTCAGTACACAATAAATAGCAAATAAAAGTGAGACTACAACATGACAGCTAGAAGAAATTACTATAAAAAATTAATGTAGAAAAGAGGCAAAAAAAAAACAAAACAGGTCCATGAACTCAAAAATCTTTCATAATAATCTGGGGCTTTTTAGTTTAAGGACAAGCAGCTTGTCCTCTGAGGGCATTCTTGTGTCGCACCCTAAAACAATTACTCATTTTCATAGTGATAACTAAGTCACCAAGAAGGGAGATAGGTTAAATACTGTGTATGCTGTTTAAGAAGGCAGAAAAGTATATATTCCATTTTAAAAATAAATTTTGTTTGTAAGAGGACAAGCTTTTATGAGGTACCATTATTAAATGATGTCCCTACAAGTTGTTTTCTGTAACAGAGGAGTGTGTCAGTCTTCAGGGAGCTCTGTGGATAGCATATGTATCAGTATTAGAGAGCTGCTTCCAGCAAGGAGAGAATGAGAATTGAAGCTACCTGACCTTGTGTATTTGAACAAAAGAGAAAGAAAGCAAACCACTCATGTAGTTACTATCTGCCTTAAGGAAGTGTGTCAACATTCCACTAATAACATACTAAATTCATTTGAAGTAAAAGGTTCGAGCCTCAGACAGAGATGATTAGAGTTGGTGTCAGCTTACCTAACGAAACACATTTTTTTTCCCCTTTACCTACCAGGAAATATCCTCTTACACGGATTCTTCCGTCTCTACACCCCCGCCACCCACCGCCCCCGAGAAGGGGACACCCTGTGTCCTGTCCTCACTGAGATTTTCCTCTGTCTTTTGACTCAGGAGGACGTGGGCTGCGAGGAGAAGCTGTACTTCGGCTTGAATGAGTACAGCAAGTCTCTGCAGTGGGGGATCACGAGCCCACTTCTGAGATGTGACGAGACTTTCGAAAAAATGGTGAACACACTCTTGGAGAGGTAAATAAGGACTTCTGTCCCTTTCGTCTAGCTGTCCTTGCAGATCTAAAATAGCCTAAAGCCTTTTGTGTCAGTGCCACAGAGAGTTTGACGGAGCCCTTGAGGATGACATGCAAAGGCTGAATTACAAACAGCCTTTCCCAAGATGACCTTCTATCCCTGTGGGTTTTATGATCACCCAAGACCAGTGAAGAAAAGCAACGACCCGAGCGGAACGTAGCACCCACTCTCCATGCCGAGTCATCTCCCAGTCATGCTTCATCACTACCACCAGGAGGTTAAAAGGGCACAGAAGGATTTACTTATTAAAGACTATTCCTTTTGAGGCTGCAGTGAGCTATGATCGTGCCACTGCACTCTAGCCTGAGTGACAGAGCAAGACCCCATCTCTTAAAAATAACAACAACAACAAAACAACCATTCCTCTGAGCTCAGCCCTCCCCAACCCTATACACCAGACTTTTACATTTTCCCCTCTTTTCTCCTCCACCCATCACAGGCAAATCCCCTCAAACGATTTGGTAAAAACTAAAATTTACTAAGAGATTTGGAGTATATACTGGAAAAAATGAAGGATCAGATAATTTGAGTGAGTGTAGTTCTAAGAGTGCCTCCTCCAGTCCCTGACCTTAGGGATCAAGATCATGACTCTTCTGTCTTTTCTTCCTTTTTTTTTTCCATTCCCCAGTTCCAGATCAAATTCTGGAAGAGTTTTTTCCTTTCTGACCTTAAATCATAGACTCAAAGAGTAGGCAGCGACGTTAGAATTTACCTAACCTAATAGAGGTCTCCCCTGCCCTCCACCACAATACTCTGTTTGATCATCCAACAGTGGGGGAACTGGACTGTATTTTATGAGGCAGATGCTAATTTTTAGAAGCTCTAGCTCTTACAACTGGCTCAAAATGATCACAAACCTTCTATTTAATAGCTTGCCCTATGATTTTGCTAGGAAAAAGAAAGAGAAATAAAAATGAGGACGTGTGGATATATCCAGTACGGCAAGGTATAATGCCGAATCGGGAAAGGGAGCAGGCTCGGAGCAGGATTGGATGTTTTCACAGCTGTTGGATTTGAGCAGTCTCAACTGACACTGTGACATGAATCCTTTCACAGCACATGTGATCTTAAATTTCTAAAATCATCCCATGAGTCTCTCCCCTGTTTCCCACCCACCCATTCCATCCACCAGCTTGACATTTCTTTTGTTCCAGTAACATCAGTCACAGCTTAATAATTTGTATTTTAAAGGATGGTCCCATCAACTTCTATTACAACTTCTGCAACATTTACAAAACTATAATTATTTTAATGCAGACGTAATAGATTTGGGAAGCTATTCACTTCTAACTTCAGAATTACTTCAGAACGTGAAATTTAAATGCCCATATATCAAAGTTACCATTTATTCTAATTTTGGCTTTACTACATGGGCCATCAAGAAAACATTAAGCTTTAAATGTAGTCATTTATGCTTACTTCCTCTAACTTAGTCACCCCAGGCTAATAATAGATACGATTTATTGAACATCTGAAGGGACCAGCCCAGGATTGCTTGAACTGAAAGGATTTCTTCACTTTTCCCCAACCTGCTCAGTCCTTGCAGTGCGTGAAGACATTGTTATTGGCCTGATTAAAATCCAGACCCAACTCTGTCTCTGACTGGCTGTATGAACTGGGACAAGTGGCTGAATTTCTCTCTGCCCCTTAACTCTTCTACAAAAGACAGAGTGGTTAGAATATAGGGCATTATGGCCCTTTCCAAGCTCTGAAATACCTCAAAAGTATTCACCTATTATTCATTTGATAACCCTAATTGGTATTTGACACAAGGCTTTTCTGTGCAAGGCAGTGGACCATTTGTTGTATTTTAAATAGAATTAAGTGGAACAAAGGTGCAAATTCCCCTTAGCCCACCCAGCTGCTAGGCGGCTGCATGTGCTACCAGCTGACAGCTAGGAAGAGAGGCAGACTCAGCCCCACTGTGCCAGGCTCCACAAAAGCCTCGGCCAAGCTTGGCCCTGGCCCTGCTTTGCCAGCACTTTCCGGACTAGCACCTCTTCATGCCTGCAAGTGGGTCCTCTTTGCTCATTTGTCCTCATGTTGTGATCGGGCCTGGCTTTCTGAGGAATGGCACCAAAATGAGAGATTCCTTTTCTGCCTGCTCTGTAATTGTAAATACTGCCTATTTGAACAAAATGAGCCTCTTACCTGGCAGTCCAGGCTGCTGGGAGAAAGGGCTGTTGCTCCCAGACTCAGAGATTTGCTCTTCTGCCTTGACTGAGCCGGGGCTCAGGTGATACGAGGCCTCACCACTAGGGGGTGCTATTTCTCCACTCAGCTCCAAGTTTTCTCAGGCACCAAGGAACAGTTTATGGCAAAATAGAGTTACTGCGGCTTTGACGATGACTTCAAATTGGTAATAATAATTACCCTTTTTATGGATGCTACTCCACAGATTATTAATGTCTCAGTTTCCTTTACTGTAACTTTAAGTATCAGAAGTACACTGACAGTGCTACCATGCCAACCCAATGCTGCCAGCAAGAGGTGAGCATCAGGGATGATCCATTGTGACTGTCAACAGTTAACCCGGCTAGACCAGAATGTCTCAAAATCTAACGTGCATACAAATCACCTGGAGGTCTTGTTGAGCTACACGTTTTGATTCAGTAAGTCTGGGCGGGGCAAGTTGGCATTTCTAACAAGCTGCCAGGTGCCTCTGCGACTGCTGGATGACGCTGTTGGTCCACGGACCACACTTTGAGGAGTGAAGGTCACTAGACCATCACAGACCTCCTTAATGTGCTACACTTCTCCCAACAGGTTGTGACTCTCATGCTTTGGAAGCTCAACTTTTCCTGCCAGTGCTGTGGGATCCAAGGTCGCTCTAGGGCTAAAACCCCAGCAGTGATCAGTAACCCCTTCCTCCCCATACTTGATCCGCACTGGTACTGCGCAGGCCTTGCTGTTCCCAGCTGGTCCTGCTGCCTGAGTGCTAGTGCCCTGTGTTCTGTTGAAGGTACCCCAGACTGCACAGCATGGTCGTCCGCTGCTACCTCCTCATCCAGCAGTACTCCGAGGCTCTGATGGCCCTCACCACCATGGCGTCACTCCGAGACCACAGCACACCAGAAACACTCAGCATTATGGATGACCTCATCAGCTCCCCAGGAAAAAACAAAAGTGGGAGGGGACACATGCTCATTATCAGGGTGCCCTCGGTGCAGCTGGCGATGTTAGCCAAGGAGCGGCTGCAGGAGGTGCGTGACAAGCTGGGGCTGCAGTATCGGTTTGAGATCATCCTTGGGAACCCGGCCTCTGAACTCAGTGTTGCAACGCACTTTGTGGCACGATTAAAGGTTAGCAATGGACAGACATTTCTCCTTCAAAATACCATTTGTTTCTGTTTTCTAGGGATCCCACGTAGGTGGCTCAGGAGCCTGAGTTTAATAGATGTTTGCACATGTGTGAATTTGATCTTCATAACAATGTTAAGGCTGAGCTAGGGAACATATTCACTTTCTTAATTGCAACTAGTGTATAAAGATTCTGTCAAGCCCCTTTTTAGCATGTGCATGCAGTTGGTCTTCCATGCTCTCCAACTGCAGGTGCAAAATATGAGATGACTCAATTTCACCCCATGTTTATTGACCTTGTTCAAGATGCATCTAGCCCACGGCCATCTGTTTTCTCAGAAAAAAAGGTAAGTTGTCCTCTTAGACCCCTGTGGGTAACACTTTAAGTATCCTCAACTCACCGATTCTCTTCTGTTCATCCAGCCTGTCAGCTCATGTCTAGATGGGGTAAAGTATCCTGCTTCATCTTCAGTACTCACAGAGAACTACTCCGAGGCCTCTTGCATGTGAATTCCTCAAAAATTTGTTCTTTCTTTGTACTTGCTTTGACCCTCAGCCCCAAGGCTTTGGCTGGACTGTGACTTAGCCAGGTGTCCCCAAGAGGGGTCTAGTGCATGACTGAGGCCTTCCCTGCTCCCTCTGCACGGCCAGTGCCTGACTGCTTGTCCCCTATCCCTCCTGGCAGGCATGGGGGTGGGGAGAGTAGAATTTGCAATCAACTAACCTAACTTTCTACCTTATATCTGGCTCAGTTTTTTTCTGGGGACTTTGATAATCCTATATGGCCTAGCTATTCGAGAACATTTAATCAAATACCCACATACATATAGGTATGGAACTGAGATAGGCACTGTTTGTCCAAGTTAGACCAACATGGTGTCTATACACTAAATACTAAGCTAAATTGGGTTAAGAAAGATGTAGTTTGGCACAAGTTTTATGGGAGAAAAAAAGCACATAGTCTTGGGGAATCTGCATTTTCACCTTGGGCTGCAGTTTCCCATCTGCAAAATGAACTCTCATTTGGGGATGATTATTTAGTGTTCAAAAGGCACTCTGCAAATGCAAACCTCTTTATTCTATTAGCTAACCTAAACTAAATAATCTAAAAGGCGCCACATAATATGCTGGAATAAAAAATAAATAAAGTGCAAACAAAATATCTTATGTTAGTTTGATAAGCAATGACAATAAATAAAATTGTCCAAAAATACAAACTCCCATATTTAGTAGAAGTTGTAACATTTATATTTCATATATAGTCACAATTTTAAATTATAGTCATAGACTTCATTACAGCAGAATTGCTAGGATGAATGAAACACTTCCTAGAGTATAACTAATTCACTGAGACAAGTGCTTGAGGCAATAGTGAATAATGATGATGAATGCTGAATAATGATAACGAGGAGGAATTTGGAAAGGCGCTCGGATCAGCAACTCTGTGCAGATCTCACACACCTACTGGCAGAGAGCACCTAAATGGATGTGAGTCTGCAGGGTCTTCTCTGGGTCTCCATTGACACTGGTTAAGTGTAGCTACTTACAGAGTCTTAGGTCATTTGTTCAGAAGGGCTGGTTACTATGTCAGTATAAATCAGTGGGCCCTTAATAATTTGCCCCTCTGGGCCATTATGTAAAAACCACAATCAAGGCCTGAGTTTCTTCACGTGGCTGGTAGCTCATCAGAATCACCTGCAGGGATTTTAAAGGGCCTTTGGTCTGTGCAGCCAGGGTTGAGGACCGCTGTGCCACAAACGAAGGAGTTCTCAGGCAGTCACTTCTCAAAGCAGCAGTATCTCCCTCAATGGGTGTGCATAGCTGCCAGGCACCAACCACACATAAGAGAGTCCCATGTTCTCAAAACCACTGGATCACATCAGCCCATTCATTTGATACTCTCTAACTGGGAGAAAAAAATATGAGATCCCATTTGGATGTTCACAGGCTAAGCCAAACTCCCTTTTGTCAGGCAGATTTTGGTTCACCTATTTCTAAGTTACCAATCCCCTTTACTATTTTTAGCATGGCATGGGTGTGCCTTTTATCTCTAGTCTTAGGTAAATTCCAACACTTTTTCCATTATGTGATCTCATTTTTGTGCTTAGCCTTAATTATTCTGTTATATATTGTGGTTAACTTAGGAGTGATGAGGAGCCCTTTGGAAGGATACAAAGTTTAAATCTAAATAAATCAATTCCATTGCTTGAGGCCAGGAGTTAGAGACTGGCCTGAGCAACAATATATAGTTAAGACCCTATCTCTACAAAAAAATTTTTAAAAATTAGCCAGGCATGGTAGTGTGTTCCTGTAGTCCCAGCTACTCAGGAGGCTGAGGCAGGAGGATCACTTGAGCCCAGAAGTTTGAGGTTGCAGTGAGCTATGATCGTGTCACTGCACTGTAGCCTGGGCAACAGAGCAAGACCCTGTCAATCAATCAATCAATCAATCCATTCCTCCAAAAGGCCTGTGAAGCTTTCATTAGATGTCCTTGGCCTTAAGCCCTGTATTATCCTTAAACCCAATGATTATGTAGCTTTTTGTGTTAAGTTCCTCTGCAGTCAATTCATCTGGGGGGCATGGTGAATCCATGGAAGATCTACAGCCATCATTCATCAGAAGTAGCAATGTGATGGAAGAGCATTTTATAGTGGGTTTTGCTCTGATTGATCAAAAGTGAGATTTGTTTAATAATCTTCTGAAAATAAATCTTCTCTTGTATAACAGTAAGACATTATATCTGTTATCCCATCATTATAATTCAACCTCATTATTCTTGGTGGAACTGTGATCCATAGATGGTTTCTGGGAGACAAAACACATTTATGGAGAATCCCAGTGTCAGGGTTACCATGAGTCCAATGTGAAGGCTATAAGTAAAATGATTTCTATTCCAGAATTACTTGCTTTATATCAGGTAATGTTACGGTTCCCTTTGACATAAAATAGTATGGAAAATTGAATTTTTGTGGAGAATATTTTTCCTAGGATTTTAAATATCTTTTTGCCAGAGTGACTTGTTCTAAGACATAGACAGTCTCTCAAACTTGTCAACAGTTATTTAGATCCACTGATTTCTCCTTGGTGTGCGTATATATAATAACATATCCCCCTCATGTAGATTTGTACTTGATGGTGTTAAAAAAATAAATAAATAAATAAAATATTTTTAAAAAGTAAAAAAAAAAATGAAAAAAGAAATAAAAATTAAAAAAAAAAATAACATATTGGGCAACAAGTAAAAGCACAAGAGCAGTTAAGGTTCTTCCAGTTTTACAAATTATGGAAATTTCATTTAAAGTAATTGTATGTTTATTTCTAAAGACTGGTTTTCCCTTATTGAGCCTTTTCTGGACATCAGCAAATCATTAATCAAACCGTATTATATCTTGCCTGGTAGATTTCTTTTTATCCCATTTTATGCTTAGCAAAGGAAGTACCAGTCTATTTCAAAATAAAATTGTATGTATTACTTAACACTCACTTCTTAGTCTTTGTTCCCTAAAGCATTATCTGTTCATTTCTTATAACTCCTAGAAAGCTAATAAAAAGCAGTCAGATGCTATGGACTTAATAAAAGTATGTAGCAGAAATCACCTTATCTACTTAAGAGATGGTCTATTTTCTTTCTGTTCTAAAATAGAAAAGTATATAAGATCTTTTCACTTTTGAACATCTTTCAATTTGGAATTTTTTTTCAATGATACAGTTCTGTCTTCAAGATTGATGCTCCATTTATTAAAGATGTATGTGTGTATATGTATATATGTGTTATTATAGATGAGAAATTGGTAACTAGATTCTTTGGGAAACTATGAGCAAACTGCATTACTCTTCCAAGTAGTAAAATTACTCTTCCAATTTAAAAAAATATTTTTTTAAATCCTAGAAAAATATTCTCTACAAAAATTCAATTTTCCATACTATTTCATTTCAAAGTGAACCATAAGATTACCTGATTTAAAGCAAACAATTATGGAATAGAAATAATTTTACTTATAGCCTTCACATTGGACTCATGGGGCAGGTTTTTGTTTTGTTTTGTTTCTTGATCCAGATCTGGTAATATTTTTAACCTTTTGGTGAGAGACTCTTAGGAGTCTCTAAGCCAGTAATTGCCAGTTATTTTAAAAATCAATAAAGTAAGAAACAGGGAAAATAACCATCAGAAGTGGTTCATTATTTTCTTGGTGAAAATGTCCGTTTTGATGGCATTCTGAAATTCTTTTCTGAGTCATTCACAACTGAAACTGTCTTCCTTAGTCAACTAATCCCAAGAGTTTGTCCATTATTTGAAGAAAATATATTTAATTACCTTGAATCAGGTAGATTAGCCAGGATTTCTATAAGGTTTGCATCACTAGTGGGATTTTTCACATTGTATGTTTTTTTGGCCTGTGTGGCTAATGCATGAGGTATACCAAGATCTCCCATTTTATCCTGTTGAGATAAAAACTGCAGGCCTCATTCTTACGGAAGTATCCTATGTCTGCTTCTTAGTAGCAATTAAAATATGTATATATACACACACACACTTCATGGAAATCATTTGGAAGCACAGTGTGTTTAAAATCTGTATATTCGTAGTCCATTTCTGACGCAAAAAGAATAAAGAAAAAAAAATAATAATAAAAAAAAAATAAAATAAAATAAAATCTGTATAGAAGGCTGTAAAAAAAGGGGAAACCTAAATGAGTTTTAATTTTGTCATATGCATCTCTTTCCACAGACTTGGAGAGGAAATGAACCAGAAGAGTGGATGCCTCGGACGTACCAAGATTTAGAAGGTCTGCCTTGTATAGTGATATTAACTGGCAAAGATCCTCTTGGAGAAACCTTTCCCAGGTATAGTTTCAATAATTCTACTTTTCATTAGTTGTCCAGCTGAACTGATTATTAAAACTTGGCTGATGTAGCATCATTCCATTTGTTTGGCAGGCAATGAGAAGAGGATTGTTTTATGCAGGGATATAGGAAATACAGTCTTCCTTTACTTTCTCTTTCAACTTTGCAGAGATAGCCAGCATTTCTGAGCATGAGAGAGAGACATATCTGAGAAACGTCTGTGCATCCACGCAAGGCAGGCAAGCAGGAAGGAAAAGCAGGATTTTTTTTTTCCCTGAGATAGCGTCTCACCCTGTCACCCAAGCTAGAGGGTAGTGTCATGATCATAGCTCACTATAGCCTCGAACTCCTGGGCTCAAGCGATCCTCCCATCTCAGCGTCCCTAGCAGCTGGGACTACAGGCATGTGCCACACCACTGCCCTCCAGCCCCTGCCGATAATTTTTCTGTTTTGTGCAGAGACGGGGATCTCACCCTTGTTCAGGCTGGTCTTGAACTCCTGGCCTCAAGCAATCCTCCTGCCTGGGCAAAAAATTGTCCCCAAAGTGGTAGGATTACAGGTGTCAGCCACCATACCTGGCAAGGGTTTTTTAAGTGATTTTTCTATGTTAATCTGTTGTTCCCACCCCACCTCAAGGATCTAGGCTCCACAGATTGGAAGGCAACAACAATAACAAAAGCAGTAACTGAATGCTTATTCTGGGTGGCAGGCATGCCTATGCGTGGCAGGCCATTCCTTCCTTACATAATAACCATAGGAGCCCCGCACTAATTATTATCTCTATTTTATGCTTGAAGAAAGTAAAGCACAAAGCAGTTAAGGTCAATACAGCGGGGAGGTGGCAGAGCTGAGGTTTAAATCAAGCCTCACCTCTCACTGAAACCCATGCTTTTAACTGCTGCCCGAAGCTCTCCAGGCACGGGTAAACACGACGTGCCCGGCCAGACGGACTCACCAACAACACAATTACTTTTCTCCAGGTCTTTGAAGTACTGCGACCTCCGATTAATTGATTCAAGCTATTTAACTCGCACGGCCTTGGAGCAGGAGGTGGGTCTGGCATGCTGCTATGTCTCAAAAGAGGTCATCCGGGGACCCACTGTTGCGCTGGACCTCAGCGGGAAGGAGCAGGAGAGAGCTGCCGTCAGCGAGAACGACTCCGACGAACTGCTGATCGACCTGGAGCGGCCCCAGAGCAACAGCAGCGCCGTCACGGGAACTTCGGGTCGGTACTTTCTTTTCTCCTTCCCAGATGGGAGGGATGGGAGTCAGGAGGTGGGGGGGAGCGTGGAAGGCAGAGGCTTTTACTGACACCCCAAGGCTTCAGGGGAGCCCTTGGTGACTCCGGCGTCCTCTCTAGACCTCAGCGATACTTGGAAAACGTGACTGTTGAACAGCCACAAAATGCTTCTCTGGGTAGACTCTTAATGAAGAGCTTGGTAACAGGCTAAATATAATACATTTTATCAACGCCAGCCTGAACCATTTTCCCTAGTCTTCCCCACCCTCAATCTCCTCACAGTTATTATACATCTCACATATGGCCCTGCACAAGGGCCCCGTTCTTCTAGGTCCTAAAGCTGTAAGTTTGTGCCAAGTGGCTTTGCACCTGGCACAAAATGTTTGTTTGAATGACTGACTGACTGAATAGGTAATGGCCAGCGTCTGTATGCTGAAGGCTACTCTGGGGCCACCGGTCAATGGCGAAGATCCCCCATGCAGCATGCATGAGAGAGAGGCCCCTCTCTTACAGAATTTCTGTGTGTCTTATGGCAGCATCTGGCGTGAATTTTCTTCTGATAAATTGTATTACAGCAAATCCAACATTATTTCAATTTTTTTCTAATTATGAAAGTAATAAAGCTTGGCCAAACATGGCAAGACCCCATCTCTACAAAAAATTTAAAAATTAGCCAGGTGTAATGGCATGCACCTATAGTCCCAGCTACTCAGGAGGCTAAGAAAGGAGGATTACTTGAGGCCAGGAGCTGGAAATTGCAGTGCGCTATGATTGCAGCACAGCACTCCAACCTGGGTGACAGAGCCAGACCCTGTCTCTTAAAAAAAAGAAAAGTAATGAAGCTTCCTGTTCATTCTGTCAGCAGGTGTTGGATGGCTCCATGGGGGAGCTAAGGAGGCAGCGATCTGTGGGTCTTCTGCCTGTAGTGACCCTTAGCCCCAGGGAGCCTGAGGACTGCCCTTGCCTTGGGTATGCCCAGCTGCTCCCCTCAGCCAGGGGTTAGGGCTACTGTGGTTACCACTCTACCTCCTCAACCCCACCTCTACAGGTGCAGTTTTCTGAGCCTTCAGAGAGATTTCAGAATAGTCAAGAGGGTCAGAGGATAGTACAGGGTAACAGAAGGGATGAGGAGAAAATCACACCCTTTGCATTCCAGAACCAGGAAGGAATGGTGAGGAGGGGGAGTTTATCTGCCTTCCTGTGGTCCTTTGGTCACACGCCTTCCTTTCCCTTCACTCACAGAGCTGCCCCACGATTTTCTTGTCCTTGCTCCGATTAACTCGGACAGAGGCAACGGTTTGCCTTTGGCTATTTAGTTTCCCTCCCCACAGGCCCCTCTGAGGTGATGGGGGGGCTCACTGCCCAGGGAACCCAGGGCTGTGAGGGGAAGGCCGAGGTCTCCTATAAGATGGAAAGACTTGAAAGCTGGATGAGCAGGTGGAGGGACTTGGTTTTAACAACATAAGCCCTCTTTTGTACCTAACTGAACCTTAGGAGAAAAGTTTCCTCATCCCCAATTTGACTGAATTTGTGTAGTACCAGTTATGCTATTATACAATAATTGGGGATAAGGCCAACATAGTACAAATAAATACAAAACTATTATTTTTTTAGTTTGGATAAAAACACATAAAACTTACATCTTAACCATTTTCTAAATGACAGTTCAGAAGTGTTAAGTACCTTCACACTGTTGTGAAACACATCCTGAAAACTCTTTTTATCTTGCAGAACTAAAACTCTACACCAATTAAACAACTCCCCATTCCCTCCCCTCAGGCTCTGGGTAACCATCATCCTAACTTTCTCTAAGTATCTCATATAGTGGAATTATACAGTATTTGTCCTTTTGTGGGACTAGCTTTAGCATAATGTCCTCAAGATTCGTTCATGTTGTAGCATGTGGTCGAAATTTCCTTCCTTTTTAAAGGCTGGTAATATTCCATTGATGTATATATTTTGTTTATCCATTCATCTGGTTGATGGACACTTGGCTTCTTCTACTTTTGGCTACTGTGAACAATTGCTGCTGTCAACACAGGTGTCGAATATGTTTTCAAGACCCTTCTTAATCTCTTTAGGTATATACACAGAAGTGAATTGCTGGATATAATAATTCTATTTTTTTGAAGAATCACCAACTTATTGTTTTCCATAGTGGCTACACCATTTACATTCCCACCAGCAGTGCACAAAGTTCCAATTTCTCCACATCTTCACCAAACACTTTTTTTCTTCTTGAGGTGGTATCTTATTTGTGATTTTTTGCATTCCCCTAATGGATGAGGTGATGTTGAGATTTCTTCACATGCTTCTTAGCCATTTGCATATCATCTGTGGAGAAATGTTTCCAAAGTCCTTTGCTCATTTCTCAGTTGAGTCATTTTTTTTTTTTTTTTTTTTTTTTTGTGAGACAGCGTCTCACTTTGTTGCCCAGGCTAGAGTGAGTGCCGTGGCATCGCCTAGCTCACAGCAACCTCAAACTCCTGGGCTCAAGCAATCCTGCTGCCTCAGCCTCCCGAGTAACTGGACTACAGGCATGCGCCACCATGCCCGGCTCATTATTCTCTATATATATTAGTTGGCCATAATTCTTTTTTTTTTTTTTTTTTTTTTTTTTTGAGACAGGAGTCTCGCTTTGTTGTCCAGGCTAGAGTGAGTGCCGGGGCGTCAGCCTAGCTCACAGCAACCTCAAACTCCTGGGGCTCGAGGTGATCCTTCTGCCTCAGCCTCCCAAGTAGCGGACTACAGGCATGCGCCACCATGCCCGCGTAATTTTTTAATATATATCAGTTGGCAATTGATTCTTTCTATTTATAGTAGAGACGGGTCTCGCTCTTGCTCAGGCTGGTTTTGAACTCCTGACCTTGAGCAATCCACCCGCCTGGCCCCCAAGTGCTAGGATGTAT